CATAGGCCGATGCTCTATCCACTGAGCCAAGCCAGCTAGAGCTCTTTTTTTTTTTTTAAATGAACAGTATAGTATGGAATTCTTCCATATGTAGATGTACCTCACTATTTCTAATAGTTACGTAGTTATCACTACATGGACATTAATGATGTATTTAACCAACTCCCTGTGGTTAGTTGTTTTTATTCTTTTGCTCTTATAAAAATACCTCAGTCAGTGTCTTTCTTCATAAGTTAATAGGCACTCAGTGAAAAAAAGTGATTTTATTAATGTTTACAAAAGTACACTTGCTCACTGAAGAAATATCTGTTAAATACAGTAAATACAAAAGAAATAAATCCCATGATTCTGCCTATCAGGGAGAAAAATTACTCTCTATGTACAGTGAGTCCTCACTTAATATCGTCGTTAGGGTCTGTGACGTTAAGAGAAACAACATAAAGAAACCGGCTTTACCACAGGCCAATGGATATAAGCAAGAGGGCCGTCTACATGGCTCAGTGTCATGATGAAATGCTGTTTCGTGGATGTAGCCCTTTAGTTTGTTCCTTTCTTGATGTTAAATCAATTATGATTTTGGAAAACCACCTGCTTTTGTACACACTCAGTTTAAATCTTTTTTTTTTTAAATGATTTATTTTCTGTAGTTGAAGGTCAAGGGTATTTAACATATTACGTTATGATGTGGCTCTTATTAGCCCTTCAGTAATGTAGGTAGACAGCTGTGTTACATTTTCTTACAAGGCTACTGTCACCCCCAGAAATGTTATTTAATTTTTCAGGACAGTATAATTATAGCTCTTTTAAAGTTCTACTTACTAAAATGTTACATTTTAAAGTCAATAACTGTCTGAAGCATTTACTTGACTATAGTTCTTCCCATTTACCTTCTGCTCTTATGAATTCAGTTCACAAAAGTCATTTGCACTTAAAGTGTTTTACTCTTACCTTAGTGATAGGAATAGTGTTTTTCTCAGTGGAAAATTTAATAGCAAGTTATAAATGGTTGCTTTTTTCATTCTGTTTCTAACAGAAAAATGCTTTTAACCATCTTTTTACCATAATGGTTTGATAGCGTGGGAGGCTGAGAGCAGACTACGGCCATTCTTGTTCATGTCCCATTGCAGACCCCGACTTTAATCACTTAACACTTGGAGTGGGGGAAACGAGTTAAGTCGGCTCGCGTGAATTGCGCGTACTCCGCGGGAGCCGTCTTTAACTCGGTTCATATAGATTTGCGGTGGAGTGCGGGAAACGTGTAAACTCGGGCCGATTGTAACTGCGTATTACCAAATATTTGTTTGTAATCCACCCTTTTGGTGGATGGAACAAAACCAAAAGACAGAGCCATCTTATATTTTGGCGGGAAATTCACCCCACACCGGAGTGTTAAGTTCCCTTAAGCCAAGCCGGCCTGCATTAGAAGACCTGTGACTCTAGTCCAAGTACTTGTTGAAGAGATTGTGATAGTTCCAGTATTAGTTAGATCACATCTTTGAGAGAAAAAAACAAAACACATAATGTTGTTGGCTGAATGAACTTGCCCAAACTGAGTAATAACAGTTCTCTACCTGCAGACTCTACAGCAGAATAAGCGGGTGTAGATGGTAGCTGGTTGTCAGCCTGTGGCCTTTTCCTTTCAGCTTCAACATCGCTTTATGGCCCGTGTGGTCGTTTTTCACTCCGCTGCTGCTGTTTACCCAGTTCATGGGCCTTGTGATGTTCATCTCACTCCTCGGGTGATTCCTGCAGGTAAGCTCTCTGGAATGGCCGTGCTCTTACTGACCTCATTTGGAAAACATCTTTCACGACAGTTTCAGGTGACTCCCTGTGATTTGGTGCATTTGTGTTCACACCGGAGCTGTTTCCCGCTGAGCTCAGATGGAAGGAGGGAGAGCCTGCCCTTGTGTATAATGTAGTTCTGACTCGAGAGGGCCCCCCATCCTCCAAAGGGCTCAGGGAGACAGTACTTGCACCTTCCAGTAAAAACACGCTCACACCTGGGAGCAGTCTTCATTGAAGTCAACTTACATACAAGTGACTATGGATTAGATCCGTGGTCGGCAAACTGCGGCTCACGAGCCACATGCGGCTCTTTGGCCCCTTGAGTGTGGCTCTTCCTAAGCCTTAGGAACACCCTAATTAAGTTAATAACAATGTACCTACCTATATAGTTTAAGTTTAAAAAATTTGGCTCTCAAAAGAAATTTCAATCGTTGTACTGTTGATATTTGGCTCTGTTGACTAATGAGTTTGCCGACCACTGGGTTAGATTGTTCTTAAGGAATGGGAATTTGGGGGAAATGAACAATTTTACCCAATTGGGGGAAAAAACTGCCATTTTCTGACTGTTCTGGCTGCCTCATAAAAATCTGATGGATGGCACACCAACTTTTCCCTTCGTGTTACGTATGGGATTTCTGCCTCCCCACAGACCCCTGCCCCTCCTTGGACCTGTGGCTCCACACGGTGGGGTCTGCTTGCTGAGTGTCAGACAGCACATTTATTAAACACGTGTGTGTTCAAAGGACTCACTCAGTGCTAGGGACATGGTGAAAAAGACAGGTGGTCTCTCCCTTCCCTTCGCTTGTATCAGAACTGGGAGGAAGTTGACTTCACACATGAGTTTACAGGATGAAAATTAGGCTCAGAGAGGTCAAAGTTATCGGGGTGCTAATGAAAATGGACATGTCCGCGAATAGCAGCATATTCTCCCTCTGGAGTTTTAGAGGAAAGTCAGTGTAACTAGGACAGGAAGGTACATAGCCTGATGTTGCCAGCACATCCATGACCACGGCCGCGCTGATGAGCAGAGTCAGTCCCCCCACACACTGCCAGCACATCCATGACCACGGCTACGCTGATGAGCAGAGTCCCACACACACTGTGCCAGCACATCCATGACCATGGCCACGCTGATGAGCAGAATCTGACCACAGCACACTGATGTGCAGAGTCCCCTCCACATTGCTGTGGGGGGCCCCCGGGACTCTCAGAGTGCGCCCTTTATCCTCTTGACAAGTGTCACCTCGTCTGACCATGTCCCCTGCTTCTCCCCTTGAAATGGTGTTAACTCTTTGTCCGGTTTTGAGTTTTTGCACATGTTAGGAAGCTTTTAACTCCCTTCTGATATGAGTATCAATGGTCATGAAAAGCCTTGTAGATTGAACTGCTTCCTCACACTACAGCCACAGCGTAGTACCCATTGTCTCACGTGGGACATAAATGCTGGCTTTCTTTCAGGTTCAAGGGCATGCAAACTGAACCATTAAACAGCCAGCTGGCTGGCAGCGTTCCAAAGGGGGAAAAGCTACAGTGTTTCTGCATCCTGAAGTGAGTGGTGTTCTAGGAAAAATTGTACCTTCACTGATCTGTGGTTGAAATGAGAATAAATTATATTTATTTGCATATTCTTAAACTCAGATGATTTTTCAGATTCAGAATAGGAGTATTCTCTTCAAAATAGAAATAACTAAGTTGCAGTGTGAATCTGTTTGAATCATGGAGAAAGTATTGGTGTGAAAGTTTAAATGAAGTTTCATTGTAGATGTGCGTTGCTCCCAGTGTTGTAGGTGGATTGCTCACTCTTCACTTATGCGGTGACGGACGTGTCCATGTGCCTTTAACCCGGTAGCGGTGACTGTGGACCTCACTGTGTAATGCCTTCGCTAGTGAGAGGACCAACCAAACGTATTCTATGCATTCCTCTTTGGATTTTACCATTATATGTAAATCATTGGGTTTTCAGCATGTTTAACATATGAACTTTTAATGATTTCTAAGTATGTATAATTATTTTCCTTATTTGAATAAAATATTTTTATAACTTTCTTGTTATTTTGTTAATATAAACGTGGGAATAGTTTGTCTTCAGCTATCAGCGCTGAAAAGTTCCCTGTAGAAATGAGGTTTGTTTTTAGAGAGGCTGCTGTGCTGTTCAGAGACCTGAAGACTAGTCACTTTCACACGCAAGTACGTTCCCCTTACACCTGCGCATCGCGAGCATTGTGACGTGGAAAGTACCTGATGTGGATCCTTCTTCCCATAAAGGGACTTCCAGAGACGATCTGATTTGTCTCCACTGTGTGTGGCTCGGGCCACGCCGTCCTGCCGCTGCCTGACCCTGAGTGGTAGTCTTTCTCCAGCTGCGAATTGGAACATCTGTCGAGTATGCTTGTGGGTAGTAGGAATAATGCTGATAAACCACCATTACAGCACCTGGCACACAGTAGGAGCTTACTCAGCGAATAGTGATGGAGAGGGAAAGAAAGACAGAGCGACCTGGGATGGGGAATGGGAGAAGGCATTGTGATCCGTTTGTGATACAGGCATGTGAGGGTGTGAGAGTCATTTAAAGTAAAGAGCGAGGTCAGGCAGGAGTCGGCGATGCCAGCGTCCAGTGCAGTGCAGCCCTGGCAGTTAGGATGACCAAGGGCATTGGTTTGATCCACTGGAGGGAACCTTGGTGCGGCCAAAGTTCAGTGCCCCAGTGACAGCTGCCACAAATCCTCTATCTGCCTGCCTATCTGGATAGAGTCTGCAAAGGAATCATCCATCCCTCCACCTATCTACCTACCTGTATCCGTCTATCCACCTACCTGCCTCTCTTTTCTTACAGAGTAGTTTTACTACTTGGATAGAAATCTAAGGCTGGGATTTTTAAATTGATTCTGGAGAGGAAAAGAGAGGGAGAGAGAGATAGAAACATCAATGATGAGAGAATCATTGATCAGCTGCCTCCTGCACGCCCCACACTGGGGATCGAGCCTCCAACCCGGGCATGTGCCCTGACCAGGAATCGAACCATGGCCTCCGGGTTTATAGGTCGACACTCAACCACTGAGCCACCCCAGCCAGACTCTTTGTACTTTAAATGAGTAAAGGTAACGCTAGGTGGTCGATTTCAGAACTGTTGGGCTTAGCACAGTAGTTTGTTTCTCATTCACGCAGCTCCCGCTTCAGCAGGGAGAATCTCAGCACTCACTAACATGACGCAGGCTGACAGGCTCTGCCATTTTCGGCACGAGGCTCCCAAGGATTCTGGTGTTGCTGTCAACATCCAGCTGGTAGGAGGGATGGGTGAGAAAATGGAGGGTCCCACAGGAGGTTCTCATGGGCTGGCCAGGCCTGGGAGTGCCCATATCTCATCTGCCTGCACTGACCATACTCACCTGGCCCCAGCCAGCTACAAGGAGCATAGGAATTCGAATCCCTGGTCTGGCAGGCACTTCCCAGTGACTGTTTCTCGTAAGTTCAGCTCCATGACTGACACATAGTAGGTGCTCAGTAAGTAAAGTGTCTTTGGTACATTATATTCGGCAGGCACTTTCCAAAGTGCACCATGTGTCTCAACTCATTGTATCCTCATAGAAACGTGTTAAAATGGTTACTACTAAGAGCTCCATTTTACAGGTGATGCAGTTGAGGCACAGTGAGGTTTAGTAACTTGTCCAGTGTCACACAGCAGGAAGCGATGGAGGCATGAATCAAACCTCACAGCCTGGTGTTAGAACTCGCCCACCGAACCACCACTCCATACTGCCTTTCCTTACAAATCCACGTTGACTTGAGCTGAGGTGGTTTTAACGGAGCCCGGGCACTCACGGAGCCCCTGCCATCTGCCAGGCACTAAGCTCTCCCTCCCTCCCGGGTTCCCAAGGCATTTGACACAGACTGCGAGCTTCATCTTGTCCCCAGGGCTGGTCCCAGAGCTGGCACAGGGGCAGTGCTCAGTGCACATTTCTCAGTGGATTAAAAAAAAAAGCTGGATGCTAGAGAGCAGAAAGAATCAGACATAGTTCTTGCCTTTAGGGAGCTCAGAATTTTAAGAAACAGTTAATTTGATTATGACACGTGGGTGATAGAGAGATGGACAGGTGGACAAGTCCACTGGGGGCCACAGAGTGAATAAGTCGGTGTCTTGGTTTCCTTGGGTGGCCATGAGAAAGACTACAACTGGATGGCTTGAACAACTGAAGTTTATGGTCTTACAATTCTCAAGACTAGAAGTCCAAGATGGAGCTGTCGGCAGGGTTGGTTCCTTCCAAGGGCATGAGGAGAATCTGTTGCAGGCTTTGCTCCCAGTCGCTGGTAGTCTGGGGTCTCCTTGATCTCCAGATGGCATTCTTTCTGTGTCCTCACATCTATAGTAGAGGCCTGGTGCATGAATTCGTGCACAGGTGGGGTCCCTCGGCCTGGCCGGTGGGAGGTTGGCTGTGGGAGTGCACTGACCACCAGCAGGCAGCTCCTGCGTTGAATGTCTGTCTCCTAGTGGTCAGTGCACATCATAGCGACTGGTCAACTGGTCGTTTGGTCACTTAGGCTTTTATAGATGTGTGTCGTCAAATGTTCCCCTTTTAAAAAGGACAATCACATTGGATTAGGGCCCACCCTAATGACCTCAACGTGGTCATTTATAAAGACCTTATTTCCAAATAAGGTCACATTCACAGGTACTGGGGTTAGGACTTCATCATCTTTTAGGGGGACACCAGGTCACACTTATTGAGACCTACTATGTGCTGAAAACCACTGATCGACATTCTGCACAATACAGCAGTGGACAGGACAGGCAACAGCCTCCTCATGGGGCAGCCAGGCCCCAGACTGCACATTCCAGGGAAGGGTGTGTGCTCAGAGGAAAACAAGGCAAGGCTAGAGCACAGCGGGGAGGACTTGCCATCCCACCCCACACCCGCACTGGCCAGATGAGGAGACCATCCATGTGTGCGTTCAGTGCCTCCTCGGTCTATTTACTGAGCCTCCACCTGGTTGGCTCGAGGGACATCAAGATGATGGACACATTCCCTGGTCACCGCTTGCCTTTCCACCCTCGTTCCTGTGCACGTGCACCATCCTCTCTGGGGAACGCTCTCCCCTGCCCTGCCCTGCCCTGCCCCATGTCGCCTGGCCAGCTCCTACTCCTGGTACAGAAACTTGCAGGTGCTGCCTCCTCTGGGAACCCCTCACCCTGCCTGGCAGACTTGGGCTTCCCCAAGCATCTCCTCCAGGCAGCCCTGCCCACGGGCTGCTTGCTCGTCTCATCCAAAGCCAGGAGCTCCGTAGGCAGGGCTGCGTCTCTCCAGCTTCCCAGGGGGGCCTCCACAAGGACTTGCCCGTTGAATGTGTCTCTACCAGAATGTCAGCTCATAGTCCCTCCCCAGTGCCTAGAACAGCCTGGCCACGACGCAGAGCGGAAGAAACGTTGACCACATGGATGTATGAACCAACTGAAAAAAAAAAATGAAGGCAAGGCCGGGTCCCCAGGGTAGCTTCCTCCTGGCCCAGGGCTCCCGCAGCCAGGAGCCTCTGGCTACCAGCACTGGCTGCATTTTGCTGGATCCACTGCAAAATGAAGAGCAACAGCAGAGCATTAATCCAGGGGCGGGCCCTGCCTCACTGCGCAGGTGGCTGGCCCGGGAGGCCTGTCCCCAGGACCTCTTAGTGGCATCTCAGGTGGACTGCGCCAGCTTGGAGCAGGCTGAGGGTTTGAGGGAGGGGCTCGGGCCAAGGTATCATGCACCCCCGCCACCCCACCCTCAGTTCCTCTCCTCCAGAAGTAGCTCCCCATCCCTCGTGGGAGGAAGAGAGGGGATCTTTGTTTGGGAAGTGGCTCCGTCTATCCGCATCTGGGCGTCTCCTTGCAGACACACAGGGACACCAGAGGGACAAACAGAGACACAGAAGACACGCCCTCCCCCTATTCATAGATGTAGGGACGAGCGATCAGCCTGGGAAGCCGCTGGCCTGACAGAGAGACCTGAACGGAGCAAACACCGCAGAAATCAGCGGGGACAGGACAGCCGACTGACAGGCGGAATCGCGCCCACGGACACTGACTTCCAGGCTCACCTGGACCTCAGGGACAGCCCGGGGCGGCACACGCACCGCAGATCCCGGGAGCTCAGCGGGGCCGCAGCCACGCCCCCGCACCCACTCCCCGGGCTGCTCAGGGCGACCCCCCCCCCCGCCCACCGCGGGACGCGGCGGAGGGCCCTTGTCGCTTCGCTGGGCCGGGCGCCTTGGACAGGAGCTGGAGGACGCGGGGGCGGGCGGGCGTCCGTCGGGCAGGGCTGACTGAGGTCCGAGGCATCAGGGTCGCGGAGGGAGGGAGGGAGGGCTGCCCCCAGCATCGCAGGGCGAGGGGAAGTGGGCGGTGCGCACCGGGAGCGCGAGGTGGCCGGGGCCAGCCCGGGTCAGCCGGGCGGGGGGGACGGTGGCACCTTGACTGGGGCAGGAGAGGGGAAAGCTGGCCTAGGAGGGTGACCGGGAGGGTGGTGGTTGGAAGAGGGCGTGGGGCAAGCGCTAAGTCAGGGGCAGCAGGTGGGGGCCGGGCCTTGGCCACTCAAGGATGCCCGAGGGCCAGGGGGCGCCTCCCTCTCCCCGGGCGGCACGGAGCGCCCCGGACAGAAGGTCGTCGGAGCCCGCGCTCTGCCCGCCGTCTCAGATTCTGGCCCAGGGGTCTCCGGGGTCCCCGGGGTCCCCGGCCCCGCGGCGGGGCGCCACCCGCAGCTGCGTCCCGCAGAAGTTGGCCGAGGCGCGCAGCAGCCAGTACGGGCTGATCGTGTTCGTGGCGGGGCTGCTGCTGCTGCTGGCCTGGGCCGTGCACGCCGCGGGCGTGGGCAAGAGCCACCTGCTGTGCGTGCTGACGGCGCTCATGCTGCTGCAGCTGCTGTGGATGCTGTGGTACGTGGGCCGCCGCGCCGCGCACCCCCGCCTCGTCCACCTCAAGGACACGCACGCCGGCGCGCGCTGGCTCCGCGGTGAGTCCGGGAGGGAGGCCTGCTCTCCCGCCCGCCGGCTGCAGCCGGGCCACTCCGTGCCCTTTCCC